AGGAATTCCCTCATATTAAAAAAAAGGATGTTTTGGGTCAAATTTACCGTATATTCACGAGTGCTAAAACGTCTTGCTTGCTCTAAATTATTACGGCAATGCAAATTTCTACGAAGGTAATGGTAATGTGCAAACTACCGCCTGCGTAATACGGTCAGTGAACTCACCCTCACACCTGCCTCTCACTCAGTACGCTGCTATAAAGGACGAAAATACCTTCTTCTGAGATTAAAAAAAAAAAAAAAACGGGAGGTCTGTATCACAGGGATCTGGTTTGAAAACTGGGAAATGCTTACAAAATACACTGACAGTTACTTATTGATCCTTCGATGTGAAGGTTCAGCTCCTGAGACTCGCCTCTCAACTGTTTTGTGACCGGATTTGTTCCCTAATCTCGTACTGGGACAACTCTTCGATCCGAGTCGAGCTTTGTGAATCCATGACTAGAGCGAAACGTTGTCTCATTGAAAGCTAGTTCTACTGCTTTTTTTTTTTTTTTTTTTTTTTTTGATCCACAGATCTGGTATATGGATCTTGAATGACTCTTTGTAGTGCTTGAGAAGAGCACTCTCAGTTTGCAAGGTTACAATGTTACCAAGACAGTGCAATCCATGTGGATAATTTTTATATTAATATTTTTTCTAATTATTATTATTATTATTATTATTATTATTATTATTATTATAATTATTCTGATGAGGAAGAGGAGGACATTCTTGATGGTGATAAACATAATCACAGGGAAGCACTAAGCCTGTAAGGGCCATACAGCGCCTAGAGAGAATGGGAGTCGATGAAGATCTGATTCGGAGGAGAGGGGGAGGGGGGGGGGAACTCTGACGCCTCGAATCAAAGGTCCTTTCACCGGCATCAAGGCGAAGGATCAGTCAGAATCCGATCCAAGAATCCATCTTGTCAGCTGCCAATTTGATATTCACGTAAAAAAAAAAAATATGAATCGTGCAATCTACGTCATAGAAAATACGGGATATCATTTTTATTTTATATTTTAAGTTAAAATAGCATGAGAGTTTTTTTTTTTTTTTACGTGTATGGAATATTTCCTTCGTCCCAATCAAGATCTGACACATATGTACCTCTTTTTTCTTCACCTCGTGTACCTGGGTCCTCACCCACACCTGCCTCATCTCGTAAAGTCTGGTGTCTGCCAATAGTTGGCCACAATAGCTCATACACTATAAAGTTTATATAAATGCAAGGGTATAACATATATATATATATATATATATATATTAATATATATATATATATATATATATATATTATATTAAATATATATATATATGTACTCACCTAATTGTGGTTGCAGGGGTCGAGACTCAGCTCCTGGCCCCGCCTCTTCACTGATCGCTACTGGGTCCTCTCTCTCTCTCTGCTTCCTGAGCTTTATCATACCTCTTCTTAAAACTATGCATGGTTCCTGCCTCCACTACTTCACTTGCTAGGCTATTCCACTTGCTGACAACTCTATGACTGAAGAAATACTTCCTAACGTCCCTGTGACTCGTCTGAGTCTTCACTTCCAGTTGTGACCCCTTGTCCTGTGTCCCTCTCTGGAACATCCTATCTCTGTCCACCTTGTCTATTCCCCGCAGTATCTTGTATGTCGTTATCATGTCTCCCCTGACCCTTCTGTCCTCCAGTGTCGTCAGTCCGATTTCCCTTAACCTTTCCTCGTACGACATTCCCTTGAGCTCTGGGACTAGCCTTGTTGCAAACCTTTGTACTTTCTCTAACTTCTTGACGTGCTTGACCAGGTGTGGGTTCCAGACTGGTGCTGCATACTCCAGTATGGGCCTAACATACACAGTGTACAGTGTCTTGAACGATTCCTTATTAAGGTATAGGAACGCTATGTGTGTGTGTGTGTGTGTGTGTGTGTGTGTGTGTGTGTGTGTGTGTGTGTGTGTGTGTGTGTGTATGTCGTGCCGAATAGGTAAAACTTGCGATTTTGAGTGATGATCATTTTTCATTAGTAACAATAATTTTACAATACTAATGATAATTTTGAATGGATGATGATTATTTAGCATCAGTAATGATAATTATAAATGGTTGATGATAATTCTACATTACTAATGATAATTTTGATTGAATTATGATATTCTGGAGTTCGTGATTATTAGTTTACGATGGAAAAGTTGGCGTGATAATTTTTCCACCAATGACTATATAAATGTGCGTTAGTCATTACCAGTTGGCATTATCCTGATAATTTTTGTACAAGAAAGAGAATAATTTTTGCATGAGTAACTAGCGTTTTATATTTAAACAAAATTAAACAAAATTAATTGTATATAAGATCATTTTTCATCAGCAATACTAATTTTTACGCGAGTGATGATAATTCTGCACGTTTATAATTTTGGGCTACGGATTATAATTTACATGGTTGATGATTTTTTTCATTATATAGATTATTTTACCACAGAAATTTTTTTAATTTTATATGATTGATTCGAGGATTGGCGATACGCCTCTCCTTCCATGAGTTAACATAATAGGCCCCATCTTTTCCATTTTTCCAAGTCCTTGGAAGTATAATAGTACTACTACTACTACTAATTATTATTATAAAATGACTAATGATAGCAATTAATAATAATAATAAAATGATTATTATAACAATAATAATAATAAAAATAATGATAATAAATAATAATTAATAATGATAATAATGGCCTCCCTACCAACACCTGATACATACACAAGTCTCGAGTGAGGCCCAAGTTACCTTAATAGGATTATTGACGACGAAAGGGAATTAAGTTTTAACTTGGCGTAATCTGACGTAGACAGAATATAAGAGACTTAGCACCATTTTTGTTCAGATAAACTTGAAATTCTCCGGGCCATGAGATGACGACTTTCCCCAAATTTAATAATTTTTATGCTATTATTATTCTGTCTATAAATAAATATATATATATATATATATATATTTATATATATATAATATATATATATATATATATATATATATATATATATTATATATATATATATATATATATATATTTTTTTTTCAACAAGTCGGCCGTCTCCCACCGAGGCAGGGTGTCCCAAAGAGAAAGAAAATCCCCAAAAAAGAAAATACTTTCATCGTCATTCAACACTTTCACCTCACTCACACATAATCACTGTTTTTGCAGAGGTGCCCAGAATACAACAGTATTCTGGGCACCTCTCCAAAACTGCCAATATCCCAAACTGCCAATATCCCAAACCCCTCCTTTAGAGTGCAGGCATTGATAATTTAAGGATTAAAATTTCTAACTGTACTTCCCTTTATTTTCTATTTTTTTTTAAATTTTTATTAAAAGTAATGGTTATGTGTCTAAGTTCATTTTTGTGTTATCATTTCTATATATTGAAAGATTAATTTAGTGACTGAAAAAACGCGTATCTGAAGTGATGCTTAGAATAGGCGAATATTTCAGAGTGAATAACATTACATGGAAAATTGTGAAGAAAAGTTATTATGCAGAGCAAGATTTTATAATTGCCATAACATGTGAATAATATTACAAATTGCATATATTTCTCCCTTTTTAAAGAGGGGGTATATATTTTTTTTTTTTTTGGGGGGGGCTGAAGATATACCTAGTGTCTAAGTAAGTGTTAAGTCTTTTTTTTAAGTGAGAGGTAATATTAGTAGTATTTTTTATGAGAAAGAAAACATATATAGTAAATCTTTTTATTAAAAAGGAATTCAATACTATACGCAATCAGTTTTTTATATTAAATAGGGCATTAATGCTATAAATTGTCAATAGTTTTATTAAGGAGGAAAATGAAACTATAAGCAGTCATTTTTTTATTATAGAGGAAAATAAAGCTCTATGCAGTAAGTTTTTTTTATTAAAAATCTTAATATTTTATTTAAATTGAAAGATAGTTACAAGGAATAGGTAATACATTGTCAGTTATTACTGAGAAAGGACAGATTATCATTACTAAATTGTTAAAAAGTATCCCTTAACCTGCATTGGCTCTGTTGAAGTGCTCTGGATCGAAGGAACTGGAGCTACCCTACCCTCTCTTTGGATCAAGCCTGATTACCTTCCTTACTCCAGTCTCTATATGACCTCCTTCGGGTCTAGCACTTAAATGTAAATAAGGATTCTGCATATTTTTTGAGAGTGAAGTGGCACAGTATAGATTAAAGATAAGCGAATACTAGATGTCTTCACGCATAATCAACGGCAGCGAGTGTATTAAAATCTAGATGGTCTCTCTAGATAACGGAGAGCGAGACCAGAGTTCATCGTGCAAGCCTTCATTACCAAATCGGAAAACGAGATAAACAACGGGGAAAAAGCTCTAAGAAATGATAAAAGATAAGAATCAACACGATTCAATCATTGTTTTAGAGTTTTAACCTTGTCGAGAAAGACACCAGCAGGTAAACATGCCTCTATGTGGACACTGTTTAACTATGCAGAGCTCTAGCGAATCGTGATAGAGCTCTTCTTAGATGGTTCATTGGTTGATTAACTGGGTTTAAAGTCAGTCGACTACACAAATTTAATTTAGGCTTCATATCACTTGTTCACCACCAGTCAAAAATAATTTAATCTCAAGAATACTTTAATCCCTCTCTCCATAGATCTCTCGGTGTATATATCTTAATGTCTCTCGAGAGTGAAACATTATCTAAATCAAGGGTTGATTTTCGTTCATGTGTCTTCTTCACACACACCTGTCTGCTTTACATCCTCCTGCTACAACCAAACCAGCAGCACTCTACAAATTACCAAAACCTACAAACTGGAGATAATTCTGTAAATGACGTTTCGGTCCTTCCCAGACCATTGCCATTTCGCTAGCTGATAATGGTCCAGAACGAACCGAAACGCTGTCTAAAGAGTTTTCCAATTTTATTTATAATAATAATAATAATAAAACTAATAGTTATAATAATTCTAGCTTGTTTGGTAGCAGGTAACATACTCCGAGGTGGTTATTTATGCTTGCAGTGCCCTCGTGTCCGGAGGTGGGTCAGGGTATGGAGGCACAGAGGATCGGTGACCAGTGCCTCTACTTCTCCTTCGAGTCCCAGCGCAACTGGACGTCTGCACACCACCGATGCCAGCAACTGGGATGGGACCTCGCGGAGCCTAAGGACATCGTGCCCCTCAAGACCTTTCTACACCAAACCTACAGTGAGTGTCTCTCTCTAGTGCAATATTTACACTAGATGTTGGCGTTAAACATGACTTCTTCATTGTGGTTAAAAAACGGTGGGACGTTTTCACCAGATGAAGATTTTGTAGGGGAAACTTCGTACAAATAAAGGTTTTCTTTTGCTGTGTCTTTTGATTTAAATCACTTGTCGGCTGCGCCATACTCTATGATATTTGCAATGCATCTTGCCTCCTCTTCCTCCTCCTTCTCGTTGCAGCATGTCAGTCCTTTGCCTTGTATTCACGAAAAGTTTTGGTGTCACTCTATTCCGGTACATTCCACTTTGCGCTTCCTCGGTGATATTTTCGGGAACTTTTATTATCAATCTAATGGACATTTTTTTTTTATCTGATGATGGATGTTTTATCCATGTATGATGATTTTTAAATGATTATTATTTTGTTAAAGGTTAGTTTGTGCGATTGGCTTCTACTTAGAGATGGGGAAGAGGGAGCGTTTTAGTGCATGTGAGTGTAGAATCGTTTTTTGAAAAGAGCTCTCAATAACCAACTAGTATGAGAGCTCATTTATTTTAAAACTTCTTGCTAGGGAAAGGGAAGGTTGTCGGAAAGTGATATGAAGGGATGATGCTGATGAAGAGAGATGCAGAGGACCTGACGAAAAGGACGGAATTCTGTATAAAAGATTCACATCCGAAAGAGACAGGAATAATCTTATAGGCGGGTGTAGATGTGGGTATATACACCTTCAGCTCATGTTTACACAGCAGTAAATAGGTACATACCTGGGTAATGAATGATTATTGTGGATGGCAGCTGAGGTAGGATGACAGCTGAGGTGAGATGACAGCCGAGGTAGGATAACAGCTCTTAGGCCCTAACTTCAAAAGAGTTAAAAATAAAACACGGTTCTTTGGTACAGAAGGAAAATCAAGAGGCCAATTAATTCCACATTGTCTAAACAACGATAATTGTCAGAACGATACGACTCACGTTATTACTCACATTTTTTACTCCACCTAGTACTAGTACGGCTTTCAATACTTCTACATGTGCTGGTACTACTAGTTCTTGTACTTCACTACGGGTGCTCTAAAACTAGTACTGCCCCACTGATTACTAATCCACTCTTATCGCAGCTTTTACTATTTTCTACACATATAATAATTACTCTGACTATTGTTCAGCTGTATCATTACTGTTAAAAGTCCTTAGTCGTTATTTTTTTATTCATACAAAAGTACCATAATTAAAATTAACAGAATGGAAATACCTGAGGGATTTCGTGAGCTTAAACACACGACTTCGGAGGAACTAGAACATAGCTAATTTTCCTGACGAATGAGCAAATGGTCAAAAGCCCACTGGCATATACACGGTATTAGTTTTCACTATGATATTTTTGTGTAACTGCTGTCATGCGTATTATAGTGATTTCTTATCCTGTATCTTAGAATAAAATATGTGTATCATAGATTTTCTCTTCTTTTTTCTAGTTCACGGTCCATCGTTGTGGCTGGGAGCATCTTACGACCTGGATGATGTCGATACAGCGGCGGTTGATGCAAACGTGGCTGCGTCTCCAGTGCTTCCAAGCAATCTTCAAGATGATAAGAAACCCAGTTCTGGGTTTTCTCAGGGCACAGGCATAAGCTCAGCATCGTCCAGCAACGCCCTAGAAAGCAACGGGGATGATCTTTCCCTTATACTAGGCCCCGCAATGGCATTGGAGGCTGACAACGGCGATGGAGCCACGCGCGAGGTGAGAGGGACTGCTGGAAGCCTCAGGAGGCTCCTCGATCAAGACGCTATGTTTGATGAAGGCTTTCTCAGTAACAAGGGAAGAATTGCCCTTCCTCGTAGGTTCCTGAAGCCCCACCAGAACACACTTAGTAAGTCTGTTATTCGTGGCTTCCCAGGAGAAAGCCTGAAAGAGACCATTCGTGATGCTTCTGTTGTTGACTTTATCCTTCTTGAAGAGCCAGTGGAGCCTCCGGCACCTTTGCCTGACGCCTCCAGTGACCACATCCTCCCAGAATATTCAAATATGGAAGAGCGATCCATCCCGGTAAACTTAACTGCGGCAGATATTCCACTAGATGACCCCAGCTCACAGTCCAGAAACACCAGCAGAGAGAGACCGCCTCTGGGAGACGAGATAGTCCAGGAGAATGGAGTCTCAGAGATACTAGAGATAGGGGAGAGCAAGGGAACGAGGAAAGCCAGGATGAAGTGTATGCTTCTCCAGCAGAAAGAATCCCTTGAATACGAGTTGATAGGGCGTCCATGCAATGAAGTACACAGCTTTGTGTGTGACATGAAATTCATTCTCGATAACCTAGTGCCTGAATGATGTTGTTTTTAAACCTTTATATATAATATATATATATATATATATATATATATATATATATATATATATATATATTATAATAATTATTTATATATATATACTACATAATATAATATGATTCTTATTAAATATATTAATGTAATAACTAATAATATTATCTGTATCATTATATATATATATATATATATATATATATAATATATATATATATAATTTCATTTTATATTATAGTGTTATGAACTAGCCTGCAGGTAAAGGAAAAAAAGTCGTAATACAGTGGCTGCAACTATTTGTAACTCAGAAAATGAATGTAGAATTGTGAAAAACGTTACGGTCTGTCCTGGACCGTTATAAAGGCTATGTAAGACTGACTACAGTTTTGTTTCAGATATGTGAGTTAGTTATTAGTTGCAGATGGAGATCTGAAGCGTTTGCATAAATTCTTAATGAGGTTGTCGAAATGTGGTCGAGTTATTCTTTGGAACGCTTCAGAAAATGTAGTCAAAATTATTAAAGTTAGATCTAATGTTTACCTGAAGAATTAAAGTTCTGTTACTATTCGACATTATTTGTATGTTAAAATGTTAATCTCTGAATAATATAACAAAGTGTTACCTTCCAATATATTTTTTTTATTATGGAACACGTGAATTATTAGGACAATTTTAATGTTAACGCATTGAAAATATTCCTGTATTTTAATTAATCTTAATTCACAATTAAGACAGAAATATAATTATAAGTTTTCAAATAATTTTGTAGTATCGCTTGTTTATTCCTACGTATAAACATTAAACACTGTACTTGCGTTCAGTGTTAGATCAGAGTTACAACACTAAACTGACAAGCAGGAAACCCGACTACATCGTACATAATTGCGCTGGGAAACATAGAGGGAAGGACGACAAAGTACAGAGTCCATGTAAAAGAAATCTATCCTACGAGCATAGACTGAAGACCCTGAATCTGCACTCTCTGGAAAAGTTTAGAATTAGAGGGCACATAATTGAGGGGTACGAACACAAAAGACATGAATAAAGAAAGGGGATATAAATAAGGTGCTTAAGATATCTAACCAAGACAGGACTTGCAGCAATGGGCTCAAGTTGGAAAAACTTACAGCTATAAAAGACACAGGAAAGGATTGGTTTGGTAAAAGAGTCGTGGATGAGTGGAACAAACTCCCAAGTAGTGTTATTGAAGCGAAAATCTCGAATAGCTTTAAAAATGAAGTTAGACAAGCACATGAGTGGGTGTACATTGAACCTGCCTAGTATGGGCCAGCAATCCCGCTGCAATGCCTCTCCTTTCTAATGTTCTATTTCAGTTATTTCAGAGCCCAGGTCTAAGGTAACTGGTTCTCATTGTTCCTTATCTCTCTTTTTTTTTCCTTCTCTTTAGACGACGTCCAATCCTGATTTCATTCTCACCAGATCTACCTTTGCTGTTAGCCAGTTATTTTTGTCATAATTTCCTGTGTTGAATTTTCCATTGCTGCTGTTGCGAGCAATAAAGACCTCTTTCACCCCTTTACTTTTACATATCTTAAAGACCAAAATCATGTAGAGACAATCGAAATTGTATCCTTTTGTGCACCGATGTTTTAACTTGCTCCTCTTCTATTTTGCTAGAATCTCAGCGGGAGAGTAATAAACGACCTTCACCACGGCAATCATTTTTCCATTGTCATCACTTCCCATTCTTACACCCGCCCTCCCTGTTGCCCTCGAGGGCAATTTGAACATGCAAATTGAGCACCCTTTACCTACCACACAATTCTTCGTCAGACCTCTCCTGACACCACCACTACACACGAGTTGTTACTTTCTTCCCTCACTTCTATACTCTCTGCAGCTGCCGCTGCCACTCCATGCACCTCAATGGTTACTTTGTTACTCGGCCTGTCAACTGCGGGAGGGCGGTCAAGGCTGCCTTTCTTCTGTACACAACTGGTCAAGAATACTTTAAATCCTAAAACAGGGACTAAGTAATCTTAGTGTAAATATACTGAGAGATATACACCTTTCGGTGCTCGAGCTGTTCGTTTATTACATGCTGTGTGGGGTGGCTACCTGTTGTTAGTCTTGTTTATTGGCAAACAAGAGTACAAGCAAGATGCGTCATACGAACTACTAAAAGAACTTGACCCGCTTATATCTATATTAGCATCACTGTGTCTATGAGCACTGTGTAGATAAAAGTGAGGTCATTTTAACGGGCACGTACTCACCTGGCCTGATTTGTGGGTGTAAAATCATTTAATGCATTGTAAGTATTTTAGATGACGGATGGCTCTGGATTAACCTTACTCAGTATTACATGTGTTTGTACTCGTCGGCTGGTTGGCCCAGTCACCATACTGACCTGACTTCTGTTTTTACGTTAACCATCCTCGCTAACATTGCAGAAACAACTGAATAAAACTCCGCTCCTGTGACTTGAGGGCTTCATTTGTGTCGAGATTTTGTTCAATGCAAATCCGAATGAAAATCTTCCTCATTGAATTTTGCCTCATTTACTGACGAAACCGTTAATGTCCCGTTTACATTAACAGAACTTATTTCCCGCATTATCAGGGTGTCAGCCTATGACAGCTGGGCCTCATGATATACATGATCACTTGGTTTAAAACTCACACCATTCATCACTGAGACGGAACTTTACCTTCTCGGTGACTGACCACAGCGATCGTCCCCTTCCGAAAACCAGGTACACAGGGTCGAGACACGTCCCACTTTTGGCTCGTACCTCTAACTAGTTCCATTTATAAATTACTAGACAGTATAATTAACAAACTACTTGTGTGGAACTTATGCTCCTGAAACAGTCTCCTGGCTTTGGTTTAATTATAAGAGAAGCCTTACCATCACCACCAACCCCTTGTATTAATCGCAATGAATTTGCTGAAAATCACTTTATCACTGTCTTGTTCGATCTATAGAAGGCGTGCGACTCTATTGGGCGATACATCTTGATCCATAGCCCTTTTCAGAGGACACAAAGGATAAGCAATGATACACATTTGTTACAGTATTTTCAATTTATTACAAAGACACATTTACAACTGTCGCCTACTATAATGCTGAATGATGATATTTAAAACAAGCAACTTTATGGAGAGAATTTTGTAAATGCAAAACAAATAGCACAACATATTAGACAAACTACAGCAGTTCCGAACCAATTCTAGGAGGCCAGAGTGTCAACATTACTTCCAGCTGTGTTAGCTGCTGACGCACTACGTCTAAGATGTCTTGAAGACTTTAAGAAAACGTCTTGCTTAGTCACAGTATGCACCGTAACTATCCTGATACATACCTCAGACACAATGAGAGAACCGAGCTTATTCTGGTATAAGACTCGAGGTATTTTTATGTTTTTAACTGGAATCAGCTGAAGGGTTTGACACTCTGGCTAATGACTATGAAGGAACTTGCCTGAGTTGGGTTTGAATATTTAATCGTATGCCTGGTATGTATATCTGATTTTGGCCTAAAAAGCAATGCGCGTCTTGCCGAATAAGGCAAGCGAAAATTTGTATATGCATTAATTTCGCAAAAAATCATTCTGAACCTAACGAAAAACAATATATTTCATTGTGTTTGTTGATTATTAAACTTATCTAAAATATATTTAGTTGGATTAGGCTAAATTAAATTGCGCTTGTTATAATAACTTTTTTTTTTTGGTACAAAATTATTATTTTTTACATTAAACATAAATGAAAAAATACACATCTTTAAACGTATAATATAAAATTTTAGAAATGTCTTAATTTTAAATGAGTTTTTGCTAATTGCCCAGTTTTACCTATTCGGCACGACGTATATATATATATATATATATATATATATATATATATATATATATATATATATATATATATATATTATATATATATATATATATATATATACGAATGAAATCAATGCAAATTTTGCAATCAGATTTATTATTCAGTTAGATATATATAAGTTCTCTCTTTTTAATATGTTGGTATATTGTTTCGCTCTGAGAGAGTAGAGTAATGCAATGAATATGTGAGGTAAAACCCATCTCAGTCAAGCTTACAGTTTTCCCCGTGGCAAGGGAGTGACATGACCTTATTCTAAAGCTAAACTTTTTCAAAATATTTGTTTACAGGTCGCGACAGAGCAGCACTTGCCCTAAATTGGTTCATCATTGGGGAGGGGGTTTTTAGAGCAACTGGTGGCCTGTACATCACTTCCTATAGTTATGGTTTAAACTTCTGAAAGAGCAGACCACCTGGAGAACCGTCTCTCCCTCCTAAGGAAAACAGCGACACATATTTAAGCGGGTTCCAAGTCACACGTTGGGTTAAACTATTTTTAATGTAAATTTTTACAAGAATAAGTCAGGTTGTTATGTTAAATTTTGCAAAGTAACAAACGAGCGTATCGAAAATTTGCGTAAATTTATTACACTGTTTTCCCTGGAAGGGGACCAAACATCAGGTGAACCGAAAGGGCCTTTCTAATGACAATGTTGTTCACTAATATGTTATATATAAAACACAGATTACCAACATACCTTCGTACAAAGTTGAAATTTACTTAATGTGTTGAAAGTTAATAATTTTATAAAATTTTCGATCAAAGCAGAGTTTCAATGTGCATTAGAGACAAAAACAATCTTTACTCTTTTATCCTGACTTAAAAAAAGAAATTAATACATTGAAACTGAAGATAAATTTCTATACTTAATATCACGATATATATATATATATATATATATATATATATATATATATATATATATATATATATATATATATATATATATATAAATATATATATATATATATATATATATATATATATAAGTTTTCAAGGTTCGAAAATGCCGAGTTTCTGATTTACGTTAAACATTACAAGATACATACCTGCTGATGACTGGGCTTGGTCTATCATGCTGGGAGACACGCACTGGGCAAACACCACACACACACACCCGCCTCACCACCACCGACACCACTCACATTATAAAAAACACCTGTCCA